AATAAATAGCTGAAGAGTTCCACCTAGTGGACATGCGACAGTATAACCAAGCAACAAAAAAACAGGGTGAATAAGCTGCTTACAGCCCCAGTTTGTGTGCTGAGGCTTAGGACCCACATTTTGCTGTGGTCATTAAGTCACAACCCAAAAAAGTTGTTCATGCACAGACAGCACTAAGGACACATTACACACCCAGAAAACACTGTACTAAAGCAGCATGTCTTCATACAATAATGTTCTTCCTTATTATCCGTGCTGAATACAGTAATTTCACCTGGCCATTTAATCATCCATCCATCCATCCATCCATTCTCCGATACCACTTGTACCACTCAGGGTCACAGGGGGTCCGGGGCCTATTCCGGAGGGTATGGGCGCAAGGCAGAGAACAACCCAGGTAGAGCTGGGCGAAATGGCCAAAAAATAAAATCTCAGATTTTTTTCACAATAAATCCGATTTTCGATTTTAATCGATTTTCCCCTCCCCTGCTCAAAATCAAACTATAGATGACAAATGGTTCAAAACAAGTTTTAACTTTATTTTGTTTTGTTTTTTACTTTAGTGCAATCTGACAAGCCAAAAAAATATGCTTGTAAGTGAGATGGCAGACCACGCCATTGTAAACACTTTTAGAAACATGTAAAAACTTTTAGCATGTTAATGAATCCTGGCTTTTCCACAGTATGTATGGGCACCATGTCTTTTGCAATATACATCGCGACAGCGTTTATTGCCTTCCACCGTGCCCCATTCTTATCATATGGCACACAGTTCGAAAAACATGTCAGGGACGGTTGCTTGCTTAACTTTGGATGTTGTGCTGGTGCTGCGACTATTTTCATTTCGCATGGGAGCTGCACTTCTCCCACTCCGCTGTGTGCCTCTGCTTTAAGTGCTGGAATAAATTTGTCATGCTGCTTCCTTTGGTTGCAAGTTTTTAAACAGACTTTGCAACGAGGACTTGTTTGGTCTGTGTCCGACGGCGCAAAACCAGACCATTTAATTTCCATGTTGTTTGTGAATCCACTACAATGTTTAGGAGCGGCGCGCTAATTTACCTGTGAAGAACGGTGTGTCGCATTAGTTCTGCTTTTGGTGCTCGCGTATAAAATAAGTACAGTAATAAAATCGATTTTCATAAAAACACATCGTCCTGAACTGTAAATTCGAATTAAATCGATAAAATCGATTTATCGCCCACCTCTAAACCCAGGACAGGGTGCCAACCCATCACAGGGCACACTCACACACCATTCACTCACACATACACACTTATGGGCAATCTGGCAACTCCAATCAGCCTCTGCATGCTTTTGGACTGTGGGGGGAAACCAGAGTACCTGCAGGAAACCCCACGAAGACACAGGGAGAACATGCAGACTCCATACACATGGAAACTGGGCGGAGACTCAAACGGAGGTCCCAGAGGTGTGAGGCGACAGTGCCAATCACTGCACCGCCAAATCGCCAGCCCTTTAATCACAGATTATTTAACCTCTTTTGCTGGTTGACAAATACAGGCCAGGCTTAAAGCTTCAGTTTCACAGGAAGCCATGTTTAGGTGACTCTGACGTGTCATATCCCTTATAGCTGAACCTAGGAGCGAAATCACCGAGTCCAAGCAAGAGATGGCAGAGACAATGTCTCCGTGCATCCAGGTGTCAGACGACGCCACCTACCAGCCTGTGTTGGCCAGGGCAATGGATATGGAGCTGAAGAGCAGGTTACACTTGGATTCGCTGATGATGGCCTCACAGTTGGTCCCCGGTGATATGATGACAAATTCACGCATGCCGTACCTGCGCCAGGGGCAACTGTCAAATGCCCAGCCACGACCCCAGTGAAGACCCGAGCATCGCCACGGGCAGCAGAATCGTTACGAATGAGCCTACGGGTCGCTCACGTTACGCGGCACTGACGTTACGGCCTAAGAGGCATGTCTGCCGTGCCCAGCAGAGGGCCCCAGGGTACCCACCATCTGACAAGGCAGTGCGCCCTGGGCGGGAAGTCATTGTCCATGCACAGCAGGTCCTGCATAGCCTGGGGGATGGCGTCTGTGGGCGAGGGGGATGTTCAGAACAGCCGCTCATACGATGACAGAGACAGGCACACCATGGAAAGCATGCCTACCTTCTTCTGGCTCCTCCTTCCCAGCATTCTCTTGGACTTCCTGTTTAAGGTGATGATGCGTTATGGTGAACCTGAAATCCGCAAAATTGATTTCCTGTGTTTTCTCCTCCCAGGTGCCGCTTGTGTATTCACCCTGCATAGCCAAACAAAAGCATTAATTGCCACACACACCACAACCAAGGGGGCGCCACATGCATACACCACAGCCAGGCAGAAGCATGCACACGCGTACACGCGCACACGCACCACAGCCAGAGAGCAGCACACACACACACACACACACCACAGCCAGAGAGCAGCACACACACACACACACACAC